CCTTATGTAAATCCTATATTTCTCTTTATGATATATTGCATTGTTAGCGCTCTCGTATGTATAATTCTTGCCAGATTTATATGAAACTTATATTAAAGGTTTATATCAGCAATGTCTCGGACACGTTGGAAAATCAGTGCCGATCAATTATTTGTAAAAGAGTTCTGCCCCTTATAAATATTGATTATTTTGAATATTGCAATGTAAGTGCTCTCATGTGTACAATTCTTGCCGATTTTTATGAAACTTATATCATAGGTTTATAACAGCAATGTCTCGGACAGTTTGAAAATCAGTGCCTATCAATTAATTTTAAAAGAGTTATGCCCTCAGAAATATTAATTTTATGAAAATTTTTAATTATTGACCTTGAAAAGATAAAATATGTGCAACGCGGGGGACACTGGAACTCTGTTCTTTTGTTTTAATTTGCATTTCTTTTTTTTTTTTTTTTTGAGATTTCACGAATTTATGATAAAAAGCAGGACAGTTGCTTTTTTGCATATTTATATGATTTTTCACGTTTTAGTGTTGTTTAGTGGCTGTTGAACTGATGTATATTCAATTGGCTCACTTCATTCATTTATATGTTATAGTACAAATTACAAGCATGACATTTCATACTGTTAAATATACACATGTATTTTTAGCAATTGAGAGATGCCTCATCTTGTCTAAATGGATGGAAGTTGTATAATAGTGTTCAGACACCCCTAGTTATGGTGGGATTCGTGTTTCTCAGTCTTTTAGTCTGAAGTCAGACGTTTCAATAGGGTAAGCAGACCCTCCTACGCCAATGGCACGCGTCGTGCCACTAATTGCAAATGAACATCCGGTGATATGCTGAGATTTCAAAATCAAGTAAAAGAATACGTGATTGTTGTTATGACAAATGGAACATATAGCGTTCGATAATCTAATTTTATCTTTTTTTAATAAAAATGTATATAGTAATTTTCATGTTGCTTTTTAATGTCACCTATTAATTCAGATTGTATATTTTTCACGAATTATCAAATTATTTAAGTGCCACCAGTTGAAATTCATTATAGATACTTATAAGTTATATCCGATATTTTTGTCACGTAATCTTTTACATTTACATTTGTTAAGTGATTCATGACTTTTCAATACAAATTGCATTTCTGTTCGAAATATATATTTACCAAATTAATAACTATATTTATTGATCTATATCAAATGAATACATTGTTTCATTAACCGCCCTCATCCATTGAAACCACCTCGATCTTGATAAGTTATGAGAAGTAATTCATTCTGTATTACAAGGTACATGGGAATATTTCGCTATTGTCATACCTTTGAATTCGGTATTTTTATTAATACTTTTTTGATAGCATAAGACAGCAAATGACCTGTCTATAGCTTTTTTTTTTTAATAAAGTGAACAAAATGTTTATTTTGATGCAGGAATGCAAATTATTTGTGTGAATTTTCTTTTAAATGTTGTAAATGATTTTATTGTCTTATTGGGGATTACAATCCGGTGGTGGCAATGGCGACGACATAAACTGTTTGTATAAAGCTTTATATCTCAGAAGGTAGAACACATAAATGTTTAATACATTGTATTCAGATACATTATGTTACGAAGTTTCCGTCTGTCACATGTCCATTGTTCTTGACCTAATTTTCATAGTTACTGTTTGAAAAAAAAATATGCTTTAATTTTTCATGCGAAATACTCTGTCTTTCAGACAGGGTTTACCTGACCTCGACCCCATTTCATGGATCAGTGAACAAGGTTAAGTTTACGTGGTCAACTCCTTAGCTCAGATACTATAAGCAAAAGGTCAACTTTATTTGTGTAGAATAGTTGTAAAGTGTACATACAAAAATAATAAGATGTGGTATGATTACCAATGAGACAACTCTCCGAATGTCTGAATGACAGGTCGTTTCAATTGACCATGAATAAATTTTGGTCTATTTCCTAGTCCTAGATACTATAAGCAATAGGGACTCTATATTTGATGTGTGGAATAATTGTAAGGTGTTTATGTCCAACTGGCAGGTTTCATCTGACTTTGACCTCATTTCCATGGTTCATTAGACAATATTTAGCTATTGTGGTTAAGTCTTTTTCTCAGATAATCTAAGCATTAGGGCAACTATGTTTTGTGTATGGATTGCTTGTAAGGTGTACATGTCTGTCTGTTAGTTTTCTTATGATAGTGATCCCATTTTCATAGTTCATTGGTTAATGATAAGTTTTTGTGGATTTAATCGAATCAACTATATTTGGTTTATGGAATGATTGTAAGGTGAACATGTCCGTCTGGCATGGTTCATTTGACATTGACCTCATTTTCATGGATCCTCGATAATGTTAAAATTTTGTGATATTTGTAGTAAAACCTTTATATCACAGACTTTCAACATAGATTCAATCCAGAGTAAAGCAGCCGAGACATTTTAGCGTGTGTACTTTTGTCTTAAATCAGAAGTGTGATCATTTATCAGTAAATGTTCAGATTTTGGCAATTAAATCAGAAAAGACAAGATAGGGCAGCGAATGATATTGCCATACAAAAGCAGTGATAAGGTATAAATTTGATGACAGAAAAATAGACGCAATTAAGATTTCATTCCAAATCCATAACTAAAAATACATCTTCTGAAAGTGTTACTGCATCTGGAAAATTTAAGATAGTGACTCTTTTCCTGTTTTATCAAAACTAATTGCTTTTTTTAGAACAAGAGAATAGATAAAATATCTATGTATTACTTCTATGTAAATCAGATGTAATTATTTCATATCTTCGGGGCTGACGCCCCTCAGATATGAGAACCTTACATCTAATACCTACAAATGCAATAGTAGAAATTATTTCAAAAGTGTTAAAACAATGAATCGTCATAATAAAACATAAAACAATTCAACTGTTTGGTTTTGATTTAAAATACTTCATAACGACCTATTTAAATAACATTAATAGTTGGATAATATCGTAAACGTTATAGTTCTCTGCTGAAGCTGTACAATTTAAATAATGCAGTTTATTTTCTATGCCTCCGTTTGACTGATAGCTGCTTTACTTTCAGCGACAAATGTTACGAATATATTTAGACAGAAAACATATGAGATATCAATGATATACAAAAAGGAGATATGGTATGATTGTCAATGAAACGACTATTCATCTGAGCTAAAATAAAGCGGGTTTAAGAAACAAAAGTTACCACACAGCCTTCACCGATGCGAAAAAACCCATACCGTATAATCAGCTATAAAAGGCCTCGACATGACAAAATGTGGAACAATGAAAAAAAAGGATGGCCTGGTTTATGACAAAACCATAGACAAAACTCAAATACGACAGACAACAACTACATGTATCGACAACCATTTAATTATAGGCTCCTGAATTGGGACAGGCACATGTGGCAGGGTTAAACATGCTTGTCATATTTTGCACTAGACTTCTTCAAATTGTAAACTTGATATTTTACATGATAACACTCTACCGGAAGACATGCCAGCCTATCCGGTCACATTATTCGTATTCAATTCGATTTTGCGTTGCTATTTTTTCTTTATGACTTGTGCTCGTCGGAGAGATGAAATATAAATTTAATTTACAAAATTGTGTAAACATTTCATCCTACTTTGCACTAGACTGATTCGGATTACAAACATGTGACTTTGAGATGAAGAACCGCAATAAAAGCGCTGTTCCTTTGCTTTTTGTTTTTTGTTTGGTTTTTTTTTTGCTGTGCATGTTCTGATTTTGTGTCATGGATATATACCCCAGATCTTTTGTTTTTCTATTATGTTACAAGGAAACAGTTTGTCAGAAGACATGCCAACCTACCCGGGCACATTATTTCTACTTAAGGTGGTACATAACACTACAGGGAGATAAATCTAAAAATCAGCGGAACTTTTCAATCATGTTCTATTGTTAAGGAAATATTAAGCTTCTCAATAATCAAAATTAGTGTTTGTCAAACTGCTATATATCCAATGAAATTTTTCCGATAAAGTGTGTGGTTCAAGTTTTTTGAAATTTTGATATTTTTGTCAAAGGGTCAAATTCAAAATTTTATGAAAATTAAATGAGCCAAATTAAATTTAGTCAGGGTGTATGGTACCACCTTAATTTGATCTGGGTTTGACATTACTTTTAAATGCCGAGAGCTTGTCGGAGTAGAAGCAACGGCAGAGCTTAATTTAGGTTTGAATTTGACTCAGACAAGTTTATCCAACCTACGACTTCCTACGCTAAAACTGAACTCGATATTAGAAAACGTCAAACAGAGCCTTTTTTGCGAAGATTGAAGCCTTGCTATTACAAAACTTAAGTGTTCCTCCATAAACCGTATGTGTCAACTGTACATATTGTTACAAGACAAAAAACCCACTCTTAAATAGTCACATAGTCCTATTTTTCGTTTTTCTTTATATATACCATGAAGACCGTTTGTCTTCTCCTTTGAATTATATCAACTTCGAATGATTGCATTTAATTGCTTGTCTAACGGCAGTGACCGTTACGCATGGCTCTCTCATGTTTTTTTTTATTGTTTATCATTTCTAGCTATATATAATAGTTTGTACTAGGTGCGTTATTGTTTTATTTTCAATTATTGTACATCACCATTTTCATATAATTTTATAATTGATTAAAAGTATTATCATAAAGTTTTGGTAAATATTTATTAAATATGCAACAGGCTAGACAAGTCTGTGAAACTGCACTAATCGCACATATTTGGTACCAGCTTTCTGCACAAAATAGCAACAAATTCATCATAATTATGCATTAATGGGATTTCATGTAAATTATTTACACTTGATTTTATGTCTTTTTTTGTTTTGTCTTTTGATAAATCGCCGTTAATTGTTATATTTTTTATTCAAATGTAAAAATTGTCCCGACTGTTAACCACGAATGCTGGCAACATATTGCAAAGGTGTTTCTGGTTGCATGTGATGTAAGCATTTAAAAGGCCCATGTAGAGGCTGTGCCATTTCAGGTTCCAATTCTCGGATAGACAGAGGATGCATAGCCAACTGATTATAATTCTCTTTGCATTCGTTGGTAAGTTTTTTTATCTTCTTTGTTACAATTATAATGGGAGAATTTTTGAAATGGGTGTGGGAAGTGGGTAGTGGGAAGAGGGCGATGCAAGAAATAGTTCAAAGCAAGAAAATGTTTTAATTCTTATCAACCATACGAGAAAAAATGTAGTTGCATGGTTCCAAGGCTATAAAATAGTTGAATTTATTAAACTTAAAAAATCTATAGTAGCATTTAAACTTTTTCACCGATGTGTAAAAAAAATATTGACAAATTTAATTGAAAAGAGTAGAGCATTTTGATTTTCACTCAACTCTTCGAGTGGCGGGTTTCTGCAATTGTTCCCTCATCCCCTACTTTCCGCTGCTCCCTTGCAAACATCGATTCTTTGGACTTCTTATCCCTTTTTTTGCGTCGCTCCCTCACCTCTTCTCGTGCTTCGCTCCCTAACCCCCCTTCACATCCGCCGCTTCCTCATCTTTTCTCCTCCATTGCACTTGATTTGTTATAAAATATCAAGTTTGTTTCTGTGCTTAAAATGAAAAGCAACTTGTGCTTGTTCACATAACGTTTGGTAATATATCAATATATTCAGTTTTGTGCAGTTACGCCACCCTTCAAAAATGCTGGATCCGCCGCTTTAAAAATATGTGAACTATATTCAAAGTCTTTTAGGTTAGATTATTCTGAAAATATTACTTGTTAATCAAATGAAATAATTTACGTAATATACTCAACTTTAAAGTGGTTTTAAATTTATTAATGATAGATTGTATGACATGTATGAGTTAAGAAGTTTAAGTTTTTATTTAACAACGAAGTAAATGATTGAAACATGGAAGGGCGTGGCAAACATCAACCTCCCTGCTTCATTCTGAACTTAAATGTATCAATTATTGTAGAATATATGTAATGTTTCAAATACAATATGAATGTAACTCAAATTTCTCTGCTTTGTTTTACTCAAAAGAAAAAAAGGTGTCATATGTCAACCTCCGTTTAGAGAAATACTTGATTTTTTAGACGGTAACAACCTGAAAAAATATCTGACCTATATTTGAAAACTTTGTAAAATTAGTATATTATTTCGTTAATAATTATATTATTCACTTTATTTACACCATTTATGACAAATGAGTTGTCAAAGATTACAAAAAAAATTATTTATAGGTTATGCCAAGGAATTTGAAAATCCTTTTAACCCTAGGCAAGGATTTAATAACACTTAATTTTTTTTTATTACAAATACAAGAAGTATAGGTGTTTGCCGTCATATCATCCATAATTATGTTTAATACATTGAATAATGAAAATAGCGGGGCTCTGACCTCTAACACTGGAATTTAATTGTATTTGCTTTAGAGCGCGTCGAAGGAACTGTACAATAAGGAACAAACTAAACAAAAACGCCTAAAGTAGCGCAGATTTTCTGACAATTTAATTGAAATCCGTTCCATGTAGTTAAGGGGGTCTTGATGGGGGTCCTTCATTTTTTTTATTCATTAGTATTGTATGTCATTTTTGTTTATCTTTGAAAATAATGATTATTCTGTAAAATTCTCATAATAATCATTTTACTATTATGTGTATTTATTTGTTATTACATGACTTCTTTATTTTGTACACGGTTCATTTCTGTAATAAGTATATTATTACCTAATTCTTTAAATTTTTACCGTTATTCTTTATTCCTTTGCACCCCATTATTCCCAATTCTTTTTTGTTTTTAGCGCAATATTCATTTTTCATTAATTTGTTTGGCCATTATTCTCCATTCTGTAAACCCCATCCAGACCATCAGTTTAGCAGCATCTTAAAAATAAAGTTGAAATTTACAAACGGGTGCAGATGGAGTAAACAAATTGAGCTGGCAGGCTAAAATGAAATTGTTGAAAATCCATAAAGCAGAACAAAACCTCGGCTACTCGAAAATACAGGTAAAGACGTGCATACTCAAGCCATAGACCCTTAATTACTATGTAAATATACACTATTAGGTCAATGTCAGGAAATTTGAACTTTTTTTGTATGAGGCTGAGAAACTGGGGAAGGGCGATGTTGCCAAATACCAAAAAAAAAGTTTGTATTTTTCTGACATTGACCTAATATTGTTTTTATAATGCAACTTAAAAGAATACATTGATAGGTATTCAAATTGTAACACAAATTTCAAACTTATCTTCATCCCTAAATGAACCCCTGATCATTGTGAAAATGTGATCCATGATGAAATTGACATTGCACAAATTATAGCTTTGTTACTATATTTAGAAAATAAACACAACTAGTTGCAATATAATAACATATTTGTGCTACATATATATATGCAGTTGTTACGTTATCATGGGAAGCACGTGCTGTCATGAATTTTGCATAAAATCTTATTTTGGAATGCCTTACGATTGTTGTCAGCCAATCAAAAGAGCAAATTATCATGAAACATACATATGTGATGTTACTATTAGCTTATCAGATTCATTAGGAAGCAGCCTTGTCTCCTTGATGAGTGGTAAACTTTTCGTGTAGGTATGAAATATAATCTTTCAGAGAAAAAAAAACCAGGAGAAGTAAAGAAATTTGGAAATGAAATAATTCATTTGCAGTTTTAATGGCTGTAGCACAGCGCGTTTCAAAATGACTATAAAAACAAATGTCTTTTAAGTCGCCTTCATGTAAAATTGACACTGGGTTTTTGATCAAATATTTTTAAACTATCGATCGCGTACATTCGAGATGACGTTTTTGACTTAGCGGAACACAAAATGTTACATGACGGCGACTATATAGTAATATACTGATAGAATTTGATAATGGGCCCTAATACATCTGCATGGTTTCATTTGTTTTATTTATTTTGTATAGGGTCTAACCGTTGATTACCCGATCAATTATAAAACGAAAGATAGGTCTTGTTTCAAAGTCACACGATTTTCTATGCTTTTATAGTAGCCTGTCCCCGCCCTCTAAAAATAATTATTCTGACTATATAGTTTTATAACCGCTGCTACAAGTATCTGTCATTAGTCAATCTATCAATTTGGGACGGCCTATCACATATCCTTGAATTGTTTAATGTTTAAAGTAGGTGGTATGATTTATGTTATTATATAAATAACACATAGCTGAGAGGATGATAGAGCAGATTGTTACCCCTAGAAAACATTTTCAACCGAGGGTAACGTTAAAAAAATTCGTAAGGGTTCCGCGGAACCCAGTGTCTCGCCTACTTTTGCTGTTAATCGCAGGCTCAACAAAAATGAGGAAAAAAATTAATAAAAATATTCCTCTCTATACTATCTTTTGATTGTAAGTAGCTTCTGTCCAAGTTTGGGAAAAATCCAGGATAATTTATGAATCTAATAAATGTTTTAAAAACTTAAACTGCAGAATGTATGTAATGTTGACTGGAAGAAAAACTAAGTCCATTTATAAGTAAAATACGGAAAAAAGGAACAAAATTTTATCAAAATTTCCTTCTAGATACTAGCTTTTGATCATAAACAAGCTTCTGTCCAAGTGTGGTACAAATCCAGGATAGTTTAAGAAAGTTGTTAAAATTTTAAAAACTTTAACCACAGAGTGAATGTAATGTTTCCTGGCAGAAAAACTAAGTCCTTTTATAAGTAAAATACGGAAAAAATGGATTTTTTTTACGAAATTTGCTTTTGAATATAATCTTATGATCATAATAAAGCTGCTAACAAAACCTTTAAACAGACTTATTAAGAAGGGATATAGTTACGATACTGTTGTCAGGTCATTAAAGATTGCATATTTTGGCTTTAATATTGATTCACTTATAGGGTCTTTGCATCGGAATTAAACACATTTATTCCAAAAAAAAACAGTTGTTGGCATGATACGGGTTATGTTCTTCTCATATGTTTTATGATGGTATGATACTAAACCCCTAACGGGAGGGATTGTACTTGATTTTCATATGATGAAGACATAATCTTTCAATCAGTTTAATTGAGGTCTGGAGCTGGCATGTCAGTAACTGCTAGTAGCCCTTTGTTCATTTATGTATTATTGTCATCTTGTTATATATTTGTTTAGGGGCCAGCTGAAGGACGCCTCCGGGTGCGGGAATTTCTCGCTGCATTGAAGACCTGTTGGTGGCCTTCTGCTGTTGTCTGTTCTGTGGTCGGGTTGTTGTCTCTTTGACACATTCCCCATTTCCATTCTCAATTTTATTGTTTATTTTCTTTTGTTTCCTATTCTGACATCGGACTCGGACTTCTCTTAAACTGAGTTTTACTGTGCGTACTGTTGTACGTTTGTTTTTTCTACATTGGCTAGAGGTATAGGGGGAGGGTTGAGATATCAAAAAACATGTTTAACCCCGCCGCATTTTTGCGCCTGTCCCAAGTCAGGAGCCTCTGGCCTTTGTTAGTCTTGTATCATTTTTAATTTTAGTTTCTTGTGTATAATATGGAGTTTAGTATGACGTCCATTATCACTGAACTAGTATACATATTTATTTAGGGGCCAGCTGAAGGACGCCTCCGGGTGCGGGAGTTTCTCGCTGCATTGAAGACCCATTGGTGGCCTTCGGCTATTGTCTGCTCTATGGTCGGGTTGTTGTCTCTTTGACACATTCCCCATTTCCATTCTAAATTTTATTCTGTCCAAGTTTAGTAGAAATCCAGGATAGTTTAAGAAAGTTATTAAAATTTCAAAAACTTTAACCACAGAGTGAATATTTGTGGACGCTGCCGACGACGACAACGACGACGCCGACGACGACGCCGACGACGGAATGTAGGATCGCTATGTCTCGCTTTTTCGACAAAAGTCGAAGGCTCGACAAAAACAGTCTCCCGCTGAACCATGGGATAGAGTAAATTATTACCCTTGTATTATAAACATACAATTAAAATCTGGCGTTTTGACGTGAAGTATAATAAATCTAGTATATGTTATACATTGTATTTAGGTATTATTTGGTCCCGAAATTGCTATGATATTAAAATTATTCTAACCTTTCAAAAGTATAAGAATTTTATTGATAAATGAAC